CAGTCCTCTTTTCGTGGTATGCTCTGGTCTATATCTGCACACAATCACCCACCTGGAAACGTCAGGATCCCTCGCAGGCAATACTAAAACATGTCACCAATCTAAGCTTTTACTTTAGTGTTTCAACCACCTCTCTCTAGTCCACTGAACACTGCCGAGGCACAGCCACGGAGGACTTGTCCTGCGGCGAGTGGTCCGGCTAGCTAGCGTTGGACTGCGAGCTCCGATTGCCCTACCCAGACTAATCCATGGGACCGGTGACTTATATTGCTTACATTCTCCATGGATTTTCATGTGGCAAATATATGCAAGTCCTCTAAGGATGCGAACCGGTCGTTTCTCTCTTATAGCAGGGGTCCGGACCCGGTTTCCAAAACCCTATGTGTTGCTTCGGGCCCAGATTCTTAGGGAATATAACCATTATTCCACTCCCATTCGTCTGGTCTGGGTCGGCTCATCAGCCTTTTAGGTCGCCACTGGCAGCCATCTGATGATCACGAAAGTGCCCTGCTTCCAGTGCAGTGTCTCTGCCTTTTCTGGACAACTACGGTGACCTACTTTTCGCGTCAACAACTACTCCCCAACGGATCTATAAACGTGCTTGAGATTGGCCACGACAAAATGGTCCTGGAAGAACGTCTCAGACGCAAAGCTCTGAGATCTACGAATTACACTTTACACCTGAGAATCTTGTCGATTGGGGACCTCTCCGTCAGCACTGTCAGCTCTCCTCCCGCTGCTCCAGTCGCTCACGAAGTGCCAAGGCTTTCCAGGCCTTCCAATTTTGTTGAGAACTGTTGCTACTGGTTGGTCGGTTGGTTGGTTGTTTGGTTGGAGAATCAAGGAGAACCCAAAGCCCAAAGACCCACATGCCAGATCTATGTTTTTGACCACACCAACTTGTTGTCCACAGGGCCAAGTTCAATGAATTCGGAGTTTTCAGCCATGTTCAGCCTTGTGCAATGGCTATCTTCCTCTCCAAAATGACTCAGTTCCACCAAAACATGTTGCTGCGGGTCTGCCTTCCAATCTATGCTTTACAAACTTTGTGGTATGTCCCAACGAGAACCACAAAGCCCCAAAAGGGAAGAAACCTGAAATCTACATCTGGGTTTGACCAGAAAATACGGACCAACGAAACGCTACTCCAGGGATATTTGGCCCATCTTTCATGACTGATGGCGGTTCAAACCCACACCCAATTTGGCAAACGTGCATGCGGACAGTAAATACTTTGTTTGCCAGCCGTGCTGTGTCAGCTTAATTTTTTCTTGACATGAAGACACCAACAACCAAGGCGGCTTGACTGTACCCAACAAGTTTCATGCATGTGGGTGTGTATGAAAAATACGGTGTTTCCCAACTTCCTAACCAATGGTTTTTTCGAGGGAGCGCTGCTGTTTTTCGATACCACGCCTGTGGCAAACCTCTCTCTTCATCACTTCACAAGCACCCCCCGATGGCGCCGCCCGTACCGCGCCGGCTCCGCGGCGGGTGCACCTGGTGCAAGCCACTGAGAAGGCACCAGGGAGTTCGGACCTAATGACCTTCTGACACTCCATGGATGGTGTTTTTACATGCATTTCGTAAAGTACAAGCAGAATGAACATGATGGTTCATGCTTTTGTTGTGTTCCGGCAAAAGAACTATAGTTCTTTAGTTCACACTATGCCAACATGTACCTGTCTCTTGCTCCATGTACCTGTCTCTTGCTGTAGCCTGTCCTGCTGCAATGAAAGACGCAAGCGTCACCAACTTGATACGTTTTGAAACCAAACTCTACAACCTCTGCCCATGATTCTCCGCAGGTCACCTGCCTGGTGGCCCATGCAGCAAGTAATGAGTGAAGCGGGCCATACGGGCCTGACGCTCCGAGGCTCCGAGACCCGTTTGGGATTGGGGCAACCGGGGGATCTGGAAGGGACCTCACTGTGCTGTGCTGCTTGGGATGTAGACAAATACTCCCTACAGGTCAGGAGTTCCTGATCTCGTTTTGCTGGAGTTGATCACACAAAAAGCATTATATTACATTATTACATACTCTGATACCGAGCTTTGCCGGACCAAAGACCTTGGACCCGGGAACAGACTGGACCTGTTGAGACATCGAACCTGAACCAGTCTGATGCTGTGGGGGGCTGCAGCTAAATACAAATAGTCCTGCATGAATGGTGCGAGTGCTGACAGTGTGGACACTTATAGTCATGTAGGGGGAGGGCACCTTAAATGGTTGTGATTTGAAGCTAAGCTGAAGCAAATTCAGTGGTTCCCTGATTCTTTGTCAGAAAAATGGAAGAGGATGAGATATTGCCCCATAAACTCTTCAACCTATGACATGGCATGCATCGCATGGGCCAGAGCACATGCTCCACAGGCCGCCGTCGGTGAAACGGGTGCACTCAGAAGCACTCAGAAGCGCTCAACCCGCACCTGCCGCCAAGCAGCCAAGGCAATGTTGCTGCACTCCCTGAAGAGTGCAACAAATCATCGTGAGGTATTTGGAGTGAGTGAAAAACTACCTGACTGTGTGGTCCAAACGTATTGATGAATTTCATGGTCATCCGACCCTTGTGGCCGCGCGGGGGCCGCACCACCTCTTCTACGTAAGCAATGGATTCGTTCCCGACCCAGTCGCACCTTCTCAGATAATACTGGGACCCAACCCGGGCACCTACATGTCTCAGTGTCGAACACATCACCGTACCTGAGAAGGTATGACTGGATCCCTAGATATCCCTAGGTGGTTTAAATTGACTGTACATTTGGTGCCTTCACCAGTCCAGGTCCCAAAGCATTGAGTCGAGAGTCTACGTGTCTTCCATAGTCTGTTCCCCTGGTCGGAAACAGGATCGAACACATGAACTTCACATGGTAAGTCATGATGAGTCTGTAGAACATCGTCACAGCAAATGAATGAATACTGCTCTGGCGATGGTATTTGCGCTGGTGAATGTCTTCGAAAACAAAGGAATGTGTTTTCAAAATGAAGTGAGACAGTGAGATATAGGTTGGGCTGAAAGTGGTTACCGTCCCTCACATCAAAAACATCAAGATGTTCATCACTTCTGCAAGAGGTATGGTTTGGTTGCATGTATAAATCGTTGCACATTGTCTTTTTGTGTCTTGTCAGGTTTCTCAGCCTCTGGACAAGGAAAACAGCTGTGCTGTCAAATGCTTATTCGGAGTAGACTCACAGGTTTCGATGTTGGGCACGAACTAAAAAACAGCATCGTGGGGCAAGTACATAGACGAGACCAAAGCACTCCCTAGCAAACAAATACATTCAATCAAACAACGTCGTCTCGTCTGTTCTCACCAGTCCCCATACCCATCTGAATCTCTTTAGCAGGGATATATATTTTATATATAGCTGAAGATCCAACTTTAAGTCATGATTGTGGCTTTGTATATATGTGAGCACACCAAGTTAGGCTTGGCAACCTACCTGCCACTACCTTTGCTTTCACCCACCAACCCGCGGTATTTCGCTGGCACGCCAGCTGCGCCTCAAAGTGCTCCATGTCGACTGCACCGAGTGCCGGTGCGACCTGAATTCAGAACCCCCCCCGGCTGCGACCTGAATCCATTAACAACAAGCCAGGTCCTGACTCACCAAAACACGATAAATACACTCTGACTAAAGAAATAGATTTCACATGGAAGTGTGAAAAACAAGCTTCTGTTTCTGCAGGACAGTCGTCTTCCAGGGGGCCATGTTCCACTTCCATGTTGGTGAGTTGGAGGATTTACCTACAAACAAATCAAAGACAACGAGGCCCGAAGGCCCTGCCCGAATAGCTTGGTGACGACCTGCAACACAGTCTTGACTCCGATTGCTTTCTCGAATTCAATTGGGGATTGCCGTCGCTGGAAAATCATCCTGCATAAGGGGAATTGTGATGTTCGATATGACTTATGCTACCCGTTTACGTTATTGATAATCTGAACTAGCCGGAAAACATACCTCGATTATATAACAACCCATAACTCATAACCATCTATTTGGGGGAAGACTTGAACTTAAGCTTCACCCCCTTTTCATGATTTTTCATGCCAAAAGGGGAGGTGAAGTTATAATATGGAAGTTGCGGGGGTGGAGTACTTTGCATGAGGAATTTTGGACTGGTTCCCCAGTTTGTTGTCATAATTGTCCCCTTTGTTTTCTGTGACTAAAGCAAGTGTGATGCTCCTGTCAAACATAACCTGCAAAGCATTAATGGTTCCGCATTGTGTTCTTATGTGTTCTTCATGCCCCTTTGCAACGGATTGGTTGAAGAGAAAATTGACCGCAGTTACCCTCTGACAATGTTCACTTCAAGAGTCAGTTTGGTAGGTCAATCATGGTACCAGGACACAAAGGGGTGGTGTTTAGTCCCTAAGTGAGTGGATCTGACGTGGAGAGGAGAACAGCAGCTCCGTTTCCGTCCGTCGCTCCACCCGGGTCTGAGTGGAGAACAGCACACGTTATGTTACTACTTTTCATTAGGATCCATCAAGAAAATGGAGAAAGAGAAAGAACAAATTATGTAAAACAGTTAGGGAAACAAACTCAATTTTGACCCATTCCCATCAATAATTCGGGGGCCAGTCGAACTACAGCTTTCAACCACCACTTTGGGTTTCAGTTGCGAACACTAAAATCCAAAAGTCCGGCTGCTGGCCACACCAAAGCCATGGGGATTCCCTCATGCCCCTCTCCCGCCAGCTGCCCTTCCTTTTCCTCACGCCACTTGCGGCTGGCACCGCGTCGCGACAACTTCGCACGCTGGGCTCCGCCGGACAACGCCATCGTCGCAGGACGTGTTCTCCGGACGGCGTGTTCCCGTGGTCAACGTGCTGGCTGCGAGAGTTTTCCCAGCACGACCAGCTACGGATCCCTTGGAACTGGGTGTTGCAATTCCCATGCTGGAAGCCACATCTTTTTCGAGCACACCAAACATATGTTAACGATGTCGGAGATGTTCCCTGGACATCTATGCCCTAAGCAGTCAAACAGGATGGTCCTGGTAGATGTTGCTTTAGCTTCAATGGATCACCGCGGCCGGCATCCGTGACTCTCAGGATCACTGGCCACGAGTGAGAGTCACAAGGCCTGGGGATGTAGTAGCACCGATGGAGGGGCTTCACCACCATTTGGGGTGGGGGTGGAGTGGAGTTTTGGCGGTGGCAGGGCTTATCCAAGAATTCCACATCAGCCTAGCATGGAGTTTCTTGTAGAAACTGCTGGAGAATTCTCAAACCTCCTTCCGGTGTGAAAGTGAAAAACCACACATTGGATGTCCTGAATGCCGTCAGGGGTGCCCCACGCTGCCTCAACCAACCTGCCTCATGCAACTCAACGCTCCCGCCCAGTCACGGGGTGTTCACTGCGTTTTCTTCGATCTGAAAGGATCTTTTTCGATCGATCCATTTCACCAAGGCGTTTTCGACCGCCGGCCAACGCTTGGAGCGATGTGCCAGGTGCTTGGTGCTTGAAGCGGACCAGGTACAAAAGACAAAGGTCTGTGGGAAGACTTGGAAGGGAGCACAACACCCAAACCTTCCTTCAACATCTACAACTGTAACTATCAAGCACATGTCTACAGTAAAATGCGTTGCATGTTGTACCAACTCGACAAATAATAATGCATCAGTCAACTTTCACTTGAATCCGAATTCCAAGACCTTTTCACCACTCTTCTCCACCCACCCCCACCCAATCCTTTCACCACCAACCAGCCACCGCTAGACCGCTGCTTGCGCCGAGACGCGGTAACCGCCCTCGGCAGCATCCAAGGTGTTGTACTGCACGGCGCCCTTTGCATAGCTGGGCCTCAAGGGACCACCGCGATCGACCTATGCCACCACTGGAGGAGGCCATATGCCAGAGCAAGCATGGAAGTGAGCTATATACCAACCTGCCCTTGGGGTGGTTGAAAAAGAAAACAATCACAGGGTAGGCATGCATGTGTAGGCATGATTTCATATACTCTACATACACACATGGAGTGTCTGGGTACTTATGTGAAGATCCCCCTATAACATGCCTGCTATAACTAGACTATACCCGTCAACTCGGAGGGTCACGCAACTGGAGACTGCAATCAAACAATCTTTCCACCGTCAAATCTCCAAGTCGAAAAGAACACTGCCACTAGACCTCCAAGTCGACTATCCCTCCATGCGTCTCCAAGCTGCGTCTCAGCGTGATTCTGCAAGAGCTGCGCCTGATGCCTGGAGTTTTGCAACAGGAAGAAGCTCCTACAACTTCTCTGACGAACACATCACATCGAAGTGGATGCCACCTTTGTAGTCTTCCTTTCGGGACCATGCCATCCACTTCGATGTCAGTGAGTCGGAGTGTAAAGCTTTACTGACTGGATACTACTGGAGAAAGCAGCTTCAGGCTGTATGTTCCGGTTGACGTGCGGCCTCTGGTGGTGGCTACTTATCTCTGGGGAAAATTCATCCACCTGCGACATGAGTCCAGTACGGACTTGCTCGCGTCCTCATGCGACATGAGTCCACTCCCTTGTTCAAACATGTTCAGAGACCCAACCACAAACCTCTTCTGGCTGTTTGCAGCCTCCAAACAGAATTTTACAAATATAGCTCCGTTTTGGCGCGTGGAAGGTGACGGAAGGTCAGAAGCCAATGATCACCATCTATGGCACGGTCACGGTCACATGAAGATGACCGCCGCTTCACCGTCCCTCTGATTTCTTGACCAACTCACGCCTTGACCGACTAAAGCAACTGACTCACGACTTGACCCTTCAACGACCACTGCGGCTTTTATGCGAACATGGTCAGTCACGACATGCTCATGCTCTCTTCCCGAAAGAGAAGGCTCCGGAAGCCGGTCCGACCACTGTACGACCGGAACTTGGGGACTCCGGATCTGCTGGGGCGGCGCAACAGTGATGTTCGAAGCATCCCGCTTTTGAACGGTAAAGAGATATGCCAGTCCCCCGGTGGATTTGTTTGGGAAAAGAAGTCCGTGTCATCGCATGCAGCTTCTGCCTCAGCCCGGGTATAGGTAAATGATGGATTCCATCCTTTGCTCATCGATTCGAAGCCAACCGCTACATGATTGGCTCGAGGGTGCAAAACCCTAGCACACTGAGGGTCCGCCTTTGGGATATATAGTCCTTTCGGAGGTTCGATGCCACAAGTTATCCCAAGGTTGGCTGGTGGCTTCTATAGTGGATCCCCATCCAAAAGACATCTTTGGATGCCAGTGCCAGTGCCATCTACTCTGAAACCACTGTACGACCCGATTCGTATACAGGGTGCGACACTCTTGTGGAATCTTCAGACCAACCCATCGGTCGTCTCTTTCGGGTCTTGTTTCAAGAAGTCGCGTCGATCATGTGGACTTTGGACATAAAATCCGTTCCCTAGGGCTCCAGTCGCACCTTCGTTTCGTTTCGGTCGGACTGGGGTGGGTGCCATGTTCGGGTCCGGTCATACCGAACCTGAGGAGCTACGACTGGAGCCCTATAGGGGTTGGATCCATGGGATCTGAAGCTCCAGGACGCCCCAGGTCCAGGTCCAGGTGACCGACCGGTGACCGACCTGGTGACCTTCTTCGACCGCTCCGGACGTGACCGTCGCTCCGGTCGCGGCGGAGCCGCCTCGGGAAGAAGCTTCCGGTTCGACACTGTGCGTCGTTCTCATCCCGCGGGTTGCAGGACAGGACTGCTAAACTCCTCAGGCGCAGAACACGGAGCAAGGCACGGAGCTGGTGGCCCTTGGGCTGGGCGGTTGAGGATGCCGCTGGTGGAGGTTCCAACCCCGAAAGGTCCAAGGACAACCATCAGCAAGTTTCAGTGTTCCAAACATCATGAAATATTGAGGTTCTCTTCCGCAACTTTCAGTGAAGTTCAGCGATCATGCAAGATGATGCCTTAAATATCCATTCAAAATGGTTGAACAACACACACACTGTGGAATCCAAGCTTTATCACAGGTCGCTGGTGGCTTTAGCTCCCACCAGGGCAGCTTGATGAGCTTGTTGCGACAAAGCTGGAAGATGTAACCTTCATTCAGCCAACCGGTGGTGATATTGGGGAGACCCTCTGCTTCAAAATGAACAGCCAGCAGGAGGTTCCGTCGACGTGGGTTTGGAGACCAGCAATCTGGTACACATATGAGGTATACATACCATGGCAACAACCTAATTCTTCTTTGAACTCCAGTCAGCCGACAGTGGAGCCACTGACGTTTTCTTCCCCGAAGTCCGGCGAGCTCTCTTCATGTCGGGAAACGTTTTTCCGAGGGTCCACCGATGGAATTCTCTGTCTTCTTCTCTGTCTTCTTTTCTAATTTTGGAGAACCATCAAGAACATGGTAGTCAGATTGGTCAGTTCTGCTGCACATTGGCACCAAAAGCTGACGTGAGATCTGATTTGGGGGTTGCCCTGAATCAACTAGTTTAGAAACACGCCCATCCTATCTTATTTACAGAAAGGAGCGCTCTGAGCGGCGCGTTTTTGCATTGTTTCATTTTGTTTGTATTTTGTTTCTATATTTGTATTGCGTTTCTATTGATTTTTGTGCCACTGAAAGAATACTATTC